CACCCCAGCCCGGCAGGGGTAGTCCTGGTGTTCGGAGTGCCATGTGTGTGTGGAGTAGTTATGGGTTAAGGGGAAGGCCACCAAGCTGGGCCAGATTGCATGGGGCCATGAGGATTACGTTAGATGTTTGGCTCTAATACTAAATGAAAGGAAGGATGAAAGGACATTTTCAGGATGGGATGTGTGGGTCCCAGGGCTCGAGGGCTTGTTTTCTCTTTGGGGTAAAGCATTTAGGAAACCCTCATGACCCTTAAAGTCCCCTCTAAAGCTCCTGAAAGGTTGCAACTGCCCCTTATCCCTGGAGGACCAGGGACTTGTTGGTGGTGTGTCATCCCCACCTGGCCTGCTCAGAGGTGTGACTCCTCTCCTGGCATTCCTACAAGAGGGGCCCTATTACTGCTGAGGTGCCAGAGGATGTCCAGCCCTCACTTGTGTAAAACTCTCTCATCTATTCGTTCACTCAACACTCATTCTTCGAGTCCTTGGGAGGCAGCCTGACGAGTGATGAAGAGTGAGGGCTCTGTGGCCACCAGCTGGTGGCGTCCTTGGGTGAGTGTCTGCACACTGGTGCCTCAGTTTCCTCACCTGCTGCAGGAGATCGTGTCAGGTGCCAGCTCTCAGCACTGTGGGGTTCTGCAGGTGCGCCTGTGCTGGTGATTTTTATTGTGGTTACTAGCTAATACTATTACTTGGTTGCAGGTGAAGTGCACAGCTGAGATTCCTCCCTTCTAGGCACAGGGTGATGCCTGAGCTGATGCCCAGAGTATATCTCTGGGGAGCCCCAGGGCCTGACACTAAGTTGTTCTCGATGTCCCCTGTTGACTGAGGCAGCTCTGAAGGCTGTACTATGAGACCGAAGCCATCCATGGCTTAATCTCCTTGACAAACAGCACACAAGCCAGCTGGTGCTGCAGTTGGGCTGGCCCCATATTTACTGACTCGCTTCCCCTTTTTACAGCTCAGATCGATGGGGACAGGAGTGGAGGCTTCCCTTCCCCTGGGTGTGTCCACATAGCCATCCTCTGGCCAAAGCGCAGTGAGGGGCTGAGGTCCAGATCTCATCTGGCCTTCTCTGTACCTCGCTTGGTATGTAAGCTCGCCTCTGTGAGCTAATTCCTGGATAGTGGCTCCTGCTTTGCTGACCCCCAGAGGCCTAGGGCTGTGGACATTGAGTTAGATGGTGGATGTGAGACAGAAGAAATCAGGTGGTTAAGAGCCGGGGTCAGGGAGTCAGGCTGCGGGGATGGACTGCCTCTGCTACTTCTCAGCCATGAGTCTTAGCACATCATTTCTCCTCTCCAGGCCTAAGTTTTATGTTCTGTAAAGAGGGAATAAACAAAAATACCCTCCTCAAGAGGTATGAGGTGGGCTTAGAGAAGATGACATATGCAAAGTGCTTGGTGATGATCTATCCCCAGCCTTCCGAGAGTGTGAGCTACTTGTCACACAGGGATTATAGTGAACAGATCCTTCTTGTGCTAATTGAAAAATACAGGAGAAGAGGGAAAGGTCACTGCTGTCTGCAGGTCAGAGGGTTTGGGGGTTCAAGAGCCTTTGGATATGAGAGCTGACAGTAGGGTCAAGCCAAGACCCATGTGTGCCCCTGTGGTTTACTGATCTCTCCAACTGGACAATGGGAACCTTCAGAGCAGGGCCTGGCACACAGTAGGTGCTCATACAGTAATCATCAGATGCATAAATAACAAGCAACAGTGACAACCCCAGCATTTAATGTCCATCAAATTCCAGCTACCCATGGTGCTCTCAAGCTGCAAATGATACCAGTACACAGGGCATATAATTTCTGTTAGACTCACTACAAAATCACAGCAAATTCATTCATTCCTGTCCCCTTCTCTCTAGCAGGCCCTTGGGGTCATTGTCCCTAAGTAGAAAAAATATTCTGCTGATTTGGCCAAGTGGTAGATCCAGGGAGGTTTTCAAGATAATTTCTAGTTAATTGGTCCTTGAGTAATCTGCAAAGACCCTTCTGCGTTTGCGGAGAGTCTCTCCCCCTCATTAAATTGGTTTTCATTTTGCATTCCCCTAACAGCTCTGGGCATGGTGCCTACTTCTCACCTCTATCAACAAAGGCCCTGGGCCCCACAGTGTGGGAAGAGAGAGGGATTTCTGGGGACAGGGGAAGATCAGCGGCTACTTGACTGTGTGAAAAGCATCTGTCATTTCCCCCAATTTCAAAGGACTGATTGTCCTTTGGGCTCCAGACTTTGAGTTCTGTGAAACTCCAAATTAATGCATTAAATTAATTTTGTGCTCCCCTTGCTCAGGCTGATTAGCACAAATTAAGTTTCACACTAATTGGCTAAGGTGGAGAGAACACAGTCCCGGTGTTTGGGACGAGTGCTGATTTCAGGGATGGGGGTGGTGGTGGTTAGAGGTGTCATCTGGGCATTCCTGGATTGCAGCAGCATAAGTTATGTGACCACTACAAATCAGCACCCTTCCAGGAAGAATGATTCTGCATGGCCATAGCCATCTAAGCCACCTAAAGCCCAAGAAGAGTTCAAAATTAGGAGAAGACCCTGACAATTTCCATGATAGGAATTCTTCAGTTTCACTGTGCAAAAGCTTCATCCTGAAGTGTGCTGAAATGCAGATTTTGGGGATTCTGCCTCAGAGATTGTGGTTAGGGGGATCTGGGAGTTGTGGAATCTTCAGTTTAACAAGTCCAGGTCACCCCCATCACTTCCCTAGTTCACTGTAAAGACAACAGTGAGAGAAAAGAAAGCCCCACTCCCAAACAACCGGGAAAACCCTGGGAGAGCACCCCCATTCATTAATGGATGGCCATTACTTGGATCTGACAGGTCTGGGTTCGAATCCCAGCTCTGCCACTTACTTGCTGTGTGACATCCCCAAGCCTCTTTTTTTTCCCCTCTACTTCTGCTGAAATCTGCATTTTACTCCGAGCAGTCGTTGATGCTGTCAGTACAGTGGGAAGAAGATCAACTGGAAAAGGGAGGCAGATGGGGAGCAGAGATTGTACCAAGCAGCCCCAGTTTTTGTTGCACAACTTTTTTTTTCTACTCTTTTTGAAAGATATTTATTTTGTTCGTTTCTTTTATATTTTCATTTGTTTTTCTGATTACAAAGCAGTAAAAAAAATCAAGAGTACAGAAGTGCATCACAAGGAAATTGGAGTCCCCTGTGAGTCCATTCTTCCAGGAGGAAAAAAGAATGCTATTAACAGTTTGGGAGTGCTTTGTTCTGTGCAAGTACAAACAAAAAGGAGATCATGCCAGATATTCTAGTCTGCAACTTTGCTTCCCCCCTCCTTTGGCAATGTATCTTGGGGATATTTCTTTTAATGTCAGAACATACAGATCCGGGTCTTCCTTCTTCATAGCGCAACTCAATAAAATTTGAGGTAGCCTGTGAGCTGCTGCTATTGTTTAGACTAGCTTGGAAGGACAGCAACATTCCACAGCGGGCCACAGTAGCTCCTAACTACCAGGAGTGACACAGAGGGTCTGATGGCAGAGCCAGGTGTTTTGACATCTTCATATGCAACATTTATGGCATAGAAAGGACGCGCCAGGAGGATATGAGATCCCCTCTGACCCAGTGCATTTTACAGCTTAGGTGACCAAAGTCCAGGAGGCGAAGCGGCTGTCCAAAGTCACAAAGCAAGTTAGTTGTTGACTCCCGTCTTAAACCCTGTAT